CTCAGGAATGCTTGAGACAGTTGAAACCAGTATGCTTATACAACATAGAGCAAAGGTATAGAAATAATATAATGGTCCTCCTAATGCTCAAGTACTTTGTGATATTCTTTGTCCTAGATTTTGAAATTCTTTATGCTTCTTAAGTGATTCCGAGGACCGTAACAATTTCTAATATGCTTTTTCTTTTGTTCTTGATGTTGATAACAACCTCTCTTTGATATTGAGACATAGATTTACCACAATTTTCATTTACTATTGCATATTTACAGGAAGTTGTACCCAAACGAATAATTCAAATGGAGGAAGCAATAAAAAATCGTGATTTTCCATCTTTTGCTCGTCTATCTTGTGCAGACAGTAATCAATTTCACGCAGTCTGCCTTGATACAAGCCCCCCTATATTCTACATGAATGACACATCTCATAGGCAAGTTTTCTTTACAGTTTTATTCAATTACTTTGGGGGTGGGTCCACCCTTTTCTTTTTCTAGCATAGTCTGACAAATCATAATTTTAATATCGTCAAGACATTAACTTTTCAGGATAATCAGTTGTGTTGAGAAATGGAATCGTTTTGAAGGAACCCCTCAGGTTCTTTTCTCCTCTCTTTGCTGGTCTTGTTCAAAAACACAATGTGCATAATAGTTCTCTGTGGATCTGTATCACAAAAGAAGAAATTAGTAAATGGGATTCTCAGGAGTTACTGAGTTATAATGTTAATATATAGAAGGGACAATACAAGGCAGGCTTTAATGTCTATATTTAACTGTAATAAGCATGTCGTGTTCCCCTCTTGCAAACAATAGTTGAAGAAAATGCCTCTGAATATTCTTCTTTATTTCAGTCTTTGACATGAGACTTACTGCCATAATTAATAGAGCATGGTCCATTTTTCCGCAGGTTCGCTAATTGACAAAGACTTCTATTGTTTCTTTTTTCCCTCTCTTTTCCCCAATATTGTTTATGCATTCAATTTAAATGCGTGCTCCTTTACCTTAATATGCCTTCAAAGAACAAATTGTACTGATGGGCCTAAGTATTATTGCAGAAGTAGAATTGTTTTAAGAAGTAACCACGTCTCAAACTGACATATTGAATGAGTGTAGTGAATGTTTTCTTTTTCTTTTTTTCATTCTTTTTTCGAATGTCTACTGACTATAATATATTTATCAGGTGGCTTATACATTTGATGCGGGGCCAAATGCAGTTCTCATTTCTCATAATAGAAAGACTGCTGCCCTCCTGCTCCAGAGACTGCTCTTTCATTTTCCTCCTAACTCAGATACTGACTTGAACAGGTACCTTTCTCAATCTGGAATTTCTCCATCTGGAGTCTCTACGTTAAAAATGTTTCCAACATGTTA